TGTCCTCGAACACTTAAGACAAAAAAGTTCTATAGTTCAATGACTAAATTTTGTAAATCACAAAAAACTAAATATCAATTATTGACAGTCCATGTAGCTTAATTCTTCTTCGATATAGTCCAGTTGTTGTGAAAGAATACTTATACGTTCATAATTTTTATCGTAAAGAATTAACAATTTGTCTAATTGTAATTTGAACTCAACTTGTTCTTCTTTAGTCTTATATGTCATAATCAATGATTCCATGATAAAATTTTGGTAACGCTTTAAATATGTTTCTAATTCTTTGAAATGATTTTCAAATCTTATATGTAGTTCATTATTCAAATATTCAATAACTTGTAACGTTACTGTTAGAATATTAGCATTAAAAATTGCAAAGCAGTGGTTTTTTAACTTTTCTAAGCGGATACGATATTTAGCTTCACTGTCTTTGTTATCATCATCGAAAGGTATTTGCACTAACCACAACGTCCACCAGACTCGATGTGTTCTTTCAATTTTGTATCTATTAGCAATCGCTTGTAAATGTAAAGGTACTTTCTCATTAAATGGATGAGAACTAATGATCAAATTAAATGTATTTCTTAAACGATTCTGTGCTTTAGTCAAAACCTCTTCTGTTTCATGTTTCAAATCGGCGTTTAATTTTTCACGGAGATATTCACATTTCTCATTAATTGCTGCACTAATAGTATGAAGTACTTCTTGACTGATGTCATGCACTTGAGTTTCGATTGATTTGATCGCATTTTTTGCTTCGAGTTCAGTATCAAACTGAAGATCATTAGACGTGGTCATTCTTTCTATTAACCATAAGAAAATATCTTGAAATATTGCTTTCTTTAAGCTTTTTTCATCTGATTCTGTTTTCCTTAAAATGTTCTTGACATTTGTTGCTCCAGCCAAAAATAGAGAACGGTCTGAGTATTTTTTCTTTAAATCATCGAATTTCATTTGAAGTGTCTGAAATCCTTTGCTCTTAGCTTCATCAAAAATCGCTTTTATATCATGTTGAATTCCATTTTGTTTGGTCTGCTCTAGAATAGTTCTTTGTGTTTCCATAACTTCATCTAGTTTATCTAAGTCTTCTGATAAATTTATAATTTCTTCATTGAGTTTATTGGCATCTTGATCAAGTAATTGTCTTCTTACGTGAACATTTTCTTTTAATCTTTCGTTTGCAGATCGTCCAAAAGCTAATGCTGAAGCTAAACAACGCGGTGCTGCTTTCGTTATTAGACATTCAATAGCATCATGTAAGAATGAAGGAAATCCAGATTCTTGCCATAGACATTCAATGGCTTCATGTAGTTCTTCCATTGTTGGTGTCTTTCTTTTTCCTCGAACACCAAATGCTTCGGCAATAGAATCGGTTGCCGATGGTAAATCTTTAATATCGGAAGAGTTTGATGATAGTAATTCTAAACGAAATTGTTTTGAGAGAAGAGCACGACGAGCTTGTATTTCAAATACTCGATTCTCATATATAGTGCCAATGCCAAATTTAGTTATGACAAGTTCTTTGACTTGGTCTTGCGTTAAACTACGTCTATTGCGTTGATCAACCTTATTTACTAAAGCATAAAGCGAATCGTATGAATGTTGTAGATCTCGAATTTCATTTATTTCTTTCGCAACCATATGATCGACTTCTGTATTGAGCGACGTAAAATCGACAATAACTAAAATAATCCCAGCCTTTTCTAATTCGTCAAGAAAGATTTTTTTCAATAATTTTGAACCCGATGCTTCATTAGGACCAGGAGTGTCAACAATCACCAAATTACCTAATGCGTTATGAATAAAAGATTCATCACCAATGGCTGAATAAGGTGCATAAATCCGAGGTAGAATGCTGAATTTTTCGATTGAAATTTTAGAATCATCATTTTCAATTAAAATTACATGAATGCGAATAATATCATTGATAAATGCTAAAACTCGACATATTTGGTCAACTCCAGATGTTTTTGTTGTTAATGTAGGACAAGATGTAGATGCATTCTGAAGTTGTTGAACTATTTCCAATAAATGTGGATAAGACAATGATATATTTTGTAAAGCATCAGAATAATTTTGAAGATGATTCCGAATAGATGATTGAATTCGATTTATTTCATCGATGAATTTCACATCCAAATAGAGATATGGAGTATCGTCAGATTTTTGTGTACTTATATTGTTGAGAACAATTTCAGTTGGTATGACTGTCATTGCTGTATTACGTGTTGGCAATAGTTCTTGTCCGAGAATCGCATTTATAATAGTTGATTTACCAGCTTTCATTGGTGCAATAATTGGCATACGTAATTCTAATTTGTTTACCTTGTCCAATTCAAATATCAAACGTCGAACTAGACATGTTACCTCATTTTTGTCCGGATTGTTTTCTTTGCTAGTTAATAACTGATCCGTTGATTGACCAAGATCAATGCAATTTTGCAAAAAATTTGATAACTCGTGTTTCACACTGGAAATAATTGTAGTATTTGTTACATTGATTTGTGTAGTAGTGGTAGCACCGGTCGTCATTGATGTAGTGAATGTGAATAGGGTTAAATGTGTGTATGTGTGCGAGCTGTCTTTGTAGTGATGTAAAAAAAAAATGTTCGATTTCTTTTTAAATGACGTTAGTAAGAAAAAAGGAACAGTATTTATGCAAGCCATCATGTCAGAAAGTAAGAAAGAAATCAAAAATCAAATATTTATTAGTTGTCAGCTTGGAAGAAATCTAATGGCTGTTCTCTTACTCATACAACAACATAATGAAAGAAAGCTGATAAATGTTTAAAAATGTAAAAAAAAAGAAAAGTAGGATGCTTTGTGTTTTATTCTGAAATTAATAAGAACACAGTCGAACAAGGATAAAATGGAAAAGAGCTCGGAAAAAATGAGAAAAGTGAGCTCGGAGTGCTTAATTGGTCCAAAAAATAAGGAAAAGAGCTCGTTTTTTCTCCAAGCTCAAATATAGGGAAAATGAGCTCGGAAAAAAGCTCATTAACGCTAAAACAACGAAAATATAGGAAAAGAGGTCGGTCCGAGACGATGAAGAGAAAATCAAAATATAGTGCTCTAGCTTATGTATATATGTATAAATAGAATCCTATATGACAAAGAGAAATCTTACTACTGTTATATTTATTATTTATTAATGTATAATAAAGATGCATAAGATAAAGATATATAATAAATCAGTCCTTGGACAAAGCATATTTTACTTTTTTTCTTCTACCTTTGGGATTTCTTTTTCCAATTAATTGTGGAATTGGTCGAACACCCCAAATCATCATAAGACCTATTGTATGAATACATGAATATTCTTTAAGACCATATTTACAAGAACAGAAGATTGGAGGTAACATGTTTGAATAATTTAAGAGTCGTGCAGATCCTAACCATTGCTTGAAATGTTCATGATGTTGAGAATAAAAAATTTGATAAGTACCATCATGATAGATTTTTGCTTTTAATTGATATTGACATTTGGTAAAAGTTCGATATTGTGAACATCTATATGTTATTGATTCATAATTTTTAAAATTTTCTCTACGATAGACACTGACTTTGTGAGACTTTGTCAAAGATATTAAATCATTTTCACTAACAATTGTTTCATTTATCTCCTTCCACGTCCGTTCCATTCCACCACAATTTGATATATGTTTAAAGATTTCAGATAAATTTTAAGTATACAATAGAATAAAGAGTTTTAAATAAACTTTTGTAAACAATGCTTCTTCACAATTCTTTCGTAAATATACATTGTGTCGTCACATGATTCTTTTTCTTCTTTTCTGTTCATCCATTGCATGCATCATATACCCTAGTCTATATTACCATATGTGCACATATATAGAAAAAAAAGACCGAGCTCTTTTCCTCATTCTTTGGACCAGTTAAGCACTCCGAGCTCACTTTCCTCATTTTTTCCGAGCTCAATTCAGCGTCGTCCGTCGAACAAAGACTATTTTGATTGTTTACTTGTTAATAATGGCAATAATAATTCTCCGATCATATTGCATACAGATACAGAATTCTATGTATGCCATTATTCTATGACTAACCAAAGCCGTCTTGAAATCACGAATTGTCATGAATTGTAAGTGTATCATGACAAGGAAACTATGTAGTTCACAATGATTTTATCGACTAGAGAGAACGGAGGAGTGGATATGGGTAAGCGGTTCATCTTAGTTGAACGCACACCCACATTGTCAAAAAGTAATTCATTCGAGATCAAGCAGCGTGCGCTGAAACCATCTGTATAAAGTAAAACCATGAATGGTTTCTGATGGAATTTTTTTTTCACGAGAGTGGGGATGCATCGTTAAACGGTGTTATTGGTATTTACTATTAATTTCAATAAGACATAATGGGTGAGGCAGAAATAATGGGGCACTTTTGTTTTCTATCTTTCATGCACTTAATAATTGCTTTAAAATCTGGTTCTGAGCTCATTCGATAGAGAATTCATTTTTCTACAAAACTATCTGCTACTTTTTTTCAAATAGATCTTCTTCGTGGGTACAAAATTTACAGGATTGACACCTATGTAACACATTTATATTAGCTTTTCCCTGTTTTTGCATATACTTTGTATCTCTATACTTCAAAAGTGTAATACAGAGTCCTGATTTTTGTTTAATAGTTTAAATAAAATAACATGAGACGTGTTGGTAAAATTAAATCTTCATTTATCGTTATTGACACTTTATTATTGGTACATGGTTATGATGTTATCTTAAAGAATATCAAGCAATTTCCATTTATGTTTTGATGTTTACTTATTATAAGACAAATTTGAAGAGGTATATCATAAAATGAAGTATTTCAAAGAAGGAAAGAAATTGCACCAAGATTAATGACAGAAAATAAATTTATTTAATTCAATAATTTATTAATCTCTTTGAAAAACTGAGCCTTCCCATAGTTCAAATACTCCACAATTATTACGAGCACAATTAAAAGTTGGATCATGTAAAAGTAGTTTACCATCTTGTTCTGGTGTAAAGTATACCGCACAATCAACATAACCATTAGCAGAGAGTCGTGAAGGAATAGTGTTAGGGACATATTCAACTTTAATAGTATTTAATGAACAATTTCTACCACCAGGAAGAATACCACTAAGAGAAAGCAATGCTGTTGTTGATGTTTGTTTAACAATAACCGCAGTATCTTGACCACCATTTATCGAAGAATGACGAAAAGTACCAATAAAATCATCAATTGAACCAGACGGTGAACCAGGTTCAAATACAAGTCCATCAAATACACCAATATTATTACAAATTGGACAATAATTAGTAGGATCATGTAAAATTAATTTACCTTGTAATTCACTAATATATAATTTACAAGGTTCATAAACTAGTCGATTATTTGATTGATCGTAATCAAATTTAACATCATCGTTACCAAATGCACATACATGACCACCATAAGGAATAACTAAATGTATGTTGACTAAAGCCAATGTTGAACTATGTTTGGTAATGACAAGCGTATCAATACCCTTTACATTGGCAGGTACATGAATTATTGCATTATGTTGAAATGAACCAATAAAAGTATCTATACCAGATTGACTAACAGGTTCATCTATAGTAGATTCAAGCAAAGTGAACTTAAATAATCTAATGATGATGAGAATGAAGTTTATCATTACCTATTTCAACCCAAACATGAACTTTTACAGGAGAAACTAATATTAATAAAATCAACAAAGTTAAGAAAAATGATGATAACATCATGAGGATATTGAAATAACAATATGATAAACTTAGAATGGTGAAGAATAACTTAATAATAACAATGATTGAGTTTTATTTACTCGGTAGAATATTTGAAAGGCTTAGTTTATAACAGATGCATTTTGTTATATTTTGTCATTTAATTTTACTTTTCTTTTTTTCTGATATACTTTTCATATTATTTTCAATCAAGTATGAGATTAAAAAAAGATAATATTTCATGAAAAAATAAAGAATAATTACTTTTTTTTTGTTTTTATTGTAAGGATAAAAATTTCAAAGTACAAATTAAAAGTTTAATAATAGCTTTAAATTTTAATTTACTTGTTGAAAATGTGAAACGTTATTGATAAGAGCTAATTCTTAATGATAATGAATTTAAAAGATCATGTTTGAAATGATGAAACTCTATGTATGAAACAAAACTGAAAGTGAATGAAAATTTACAGAACAATATGTACTGCTCTAGATCTCACAAAGATGATGAATACTTGACTTTGTTCAATGCCTCAGTCCTATAAAATGTAGGAAAGCGACGGTGAAATCTTGGAAAGATTTTTCATGGAAACAATTTATAAGTAGACATATTAAAAAGAAGACAAAATATAAAGGAAATACATCGAGTTTATTTTTGATTTTTAAAAAAACATCAAACAACATTGCTGTTTCTTTTGAAATAATTGTATTAAATTTAAATCGTACGACATTTAACATATGTTTGAGAGTGTTTATTCTTGTTTTAAGAGCGATAAATAGTTTGCCAGTAATAACATGCATTAAATTATAATTAACTATCGTTCGACTTTCAAATCATTTCATCGTCATTAGACACAATGTAATATTCTCTGGAGTAATCCTATAAGTGAAACATTGTACTTGTCTCTTTATTTTTACCCAAATCTCTGGTAACGACTCAAGATATACGAATGGCATAGAAATATTGATGAAATAAGATATAAAATAAAAATAGAGTTCAACTTGATCAGTTGCTTCATATGATACACCACAAATATGAACGACAATCAGTGATAACAAAGGAAGATTACATAGAAGAAATATAGCTGAATATGACATTATTTGTAAAATCATTTTTCGATATTTACTCCATTTCATATGTTGATGAAGGTGTTGTTTTTATTTAATAACACGAATAATTAGTAAACTTCATGATCACAATCCGAGGAGTTGGTAAAACACAATTGACTGAAGTATCATATATCATAATATATTTCTGACTAAGATAAGACGGATAAGCATACCAGCTTTGTGTATAATCGAATACAACCAATTAAATTGAAACATAACATATGCTTGCCAATTGACACCAAATATATCCTAGACGAATAAAATTAAGATAGATTGAAATGTCAAGAAGTAAAAAGAATAGTCCAACAATGAGAAGAACAATAACAGCATGATTGTTTAATGCATGTCGTAGTTTTTGATCAAATAAAAAATTGTAGAAAAGAAACAAAGAACAGATTGTAGATGGTATTAAAATTAGGAGCATAATCCAAAAACAAACTATAGATGATGCAGATGTATATAATATTGTAACTGATGAAGATTCAGTATCGTTAATTTCAGTAATGATGATGATGCTATCATTTGATGTGACAGTAGCCATGATCATTTCAGAAAAAACAATAACCAAAATACAAATAAAAAAATATGGTGTTGTTTGAAATTATTATACTAGTGCATACTTCATTTACGATCTTTTCTAAAGTAGTGCAATTAAAGAAAGGTAATATTCTTGTCAACCAATCTAATTGTACATTGTGTATATGGCTGATGTTTTGACATTTCCTTGCTGTCTATCTTCATGGATTATAGAGAGTGCTCATTCATCATTAGCAATGTATGGAATAAAAATGAATCCGTTTTTTTTTTACTTGAATGAGAATTTTCCCTTAAGATCTCCAGGTAGTGGTATGATCAAGGGTGACTAAGATCCCACTGAGCAAAATGGCACTAGCTAAGCTTCTTCAAAAAATTTTTCACTGTTCAAAACATGATAGTATTAATAGTTAACAAATCGTTATGATCGAGATTTACTGATCTCACTGTTGTTTCAGATTGTGTCTAGTTTGTATAAAATAATTATGATCATCATCTTGAGATTTTTATTTAGCGATGAATAAATCGTAGCAGAGAGAAGAAGGGTAATAAACGAGAGACAGATACATCAAATGACTTCTAACATTTACATTGACATTATTCTTCTCATATTTGAACGATGATAGAATTATGACAAAGATGTTCGAAATTGCAGGGAGACTGTTGCTTTATGAGAAAAAAAATTGTCATTCAAGTGGAAAAATTATAAGTATAAACAGAAATATCACACAAGAGATGATTGTTGAAGAAAATAATAAAAAAAAGAAAACGAATAATTTGTCACGAAGATTGCTATAACCAATTAGAACACTAAATACTATTAGTTCCTTGTTTAAATTGATACTATATGGTATGACACGAAAAAGAGAAAAACAGAAATGAAGAATAGTATTCTTTCTATGCTAACATATTTGAATGTGTTTCATTTGAATATACATATCTATTTTAATTAATCTATCAAAAAGAAAATAATACTTTTTTAGATGAATGCTTCAATGAACAGATATTAATAAATGATTTTGATGAAGGATAAATTGATCCTTCTCGAGACTAACATGTTAGAAAGAATGGTATGTAGATTCGCTATTAAGTTATTTTTACCACATCTGTTGAAGAGCATCAATAAAAGACTTCAGAAAAACCGACTTTAAAATTTTTTTGTATTTTAGTCTAGCGAAAGAACGCTTTCAACTAATTCATAAATTTTTCATCGAAAACTAGTGGATGAAAGATTATCGAAGATGTGGATGTGAGTATAAATACTCGTC